ACCAAAGTAGGATGTGGAACAATTTTTTGTGTAGTATGTTATGCCAATTGAACTTGATGTCCCCTGTGACCATGGTCCTGAGCCCACAGGTCCAACTACTCACTCCCTCTGGGTAGCTGGCTGTGGCCAAGAAGTGACTATAACCTTGTCCCTTGTCAGCTCTACTATATATCTAGAAATTCTTACACAGCATACAAATACATTTGTAGAAATATTGTCTGCCAACCCTAAACCTGGTCATGGGCACTCCCCCCTGCATAGACATTCCTAATCGTTGAGCCCATCTATCCACCTGTAGATCAGTATTTGCCATCACTGACAACACAGTACTGTATGTACAAAATGGTTCATCTTTGTTGTCTGTACCTCCCATTTACCTCTCTATGTCTTCCTCTTCCTCAATGCCGCTGTGTCAGTCACTCACATTTGGCACATTTCCCTTCCTTTCAGGCAAATCAATACTTGTCTCTACCTATCTAGCAGTGTTCCCTCCCCTCCCACCCCTGGTAATCAACACAGAAAATTTCCTTCCATATATAAACCTTTTCTTGACTTTTTACAATAATGGAATAATACAACATTTGTCCTTCTGTCAATGACTTATTTCACTCAGCATAATGTCCTCCAAGTTCATCTGCATTATTCAGTGTTTTACAGATTCTACATTATTCTTTAATGTTGCATAGTATTCCATTGTGTGTATATACCATAGTTTGGTTACCCATTCTTCTGTTGATGGGTACCTAGGTTGTTTCCATCTTTTTGCTGTTGTAAATAGTGAAGCATTTTTGTCTTCATGGAAGGAAAAGTGGAGTGTATTATTCAGTAAGTCAGTACCTTTCCATTTGTCTGGGTTGGAGAAGTACAAATGGACCTTGACCCTATTTTAGTCCTATCTCTCCATTCCCTCCCATTTTATGTTTTATATTGAGAGGCACAAAATTACAGATTTAGACACTTTATCACAAGGGGCACATGGACAGCTTAAAAAGCCCCTGAGGAAGTAAATTACCAAAGGTGGTGGTGGGGGATATAAAAAGCACATCCTGAAGAGGAGGACCACTGAGGAAAAACCAGAGGAAATCGGTTGAAGCAGGAAAATTTAGATTAGGAAGCGCTTTCCTAAACTTGGTGAAATTGACCCTGAGTCAGGAGCAGGTTAACAGAGGAGCCTGGACTCTTGTTGGTGATGCCTGAGTTCAAGATGAGAACTAAACTGGTCCAGCTGTGGCCTGCTTAGCACTGGAGGGGTAGAAGCTGAGGAGCGAGGAAACCGTCCACGGCGTGTGAATTTGATCACGGACACTCAGAGGCAAGGAATCCCCAAGTCTAAATGTGACACAAATCAGAGAACTTAGGGGTTGGGTAGGAGTTCTGGTAGCATAGTGCCTAAGGCACCTGACTGCTAACCAGAAGGCTAGCGGTTCAAACCCACCAGCCACTCCTCAGAAGGAAGGTTGGGCAGTCCTACTTCTGTAGTGATGCTGCCTCGGAAACCCAAGGAGGGGTCGCTATGAGTCGGGGCTGACTCAACGGCACATAACAACAACAACAAAAAAAAGGGGTTGGGTAGAACTGGCTTTTTCCATCATTGACCTGACAAAACCTTCTTACCTGAGTAGCTGAACAGGTTTGATATTTTTATGAAGCGAAATATGGCCCAGTTGCAGGTGAAGACTACAGAAAAACAGAAGGTGTGGTATTTGGGGAAATACTGGAATGCTTACTAGATCAAAGGGCTGAGGAGAGAGAGGAAGAGAGAATGAAGCAGGCAGCCTGTAGGATCCACAAATGGCTGCCTTTTCTGAGTAATTCAGAGCCCTTCATTGCCATTGAGGTGCCCTGTGAAAGAGAAACTGAAGTAGATGAAGCCAACGTAAGATAGAGTCCCGATCCTAGGAACTTTCTTTCAATTGGAAAAACTTGCCCTGTTCTGAGAAAACAAATGTATCTGTTTTCATAGAGCCTTCTGGTCAGAAATAACAGAATAGATTTGCTGTCAATCTGGAGGGGCAATACCTCCTTCCATTCTTTTGGAAAGAACCTGAGAGTTACATTGGGGAACCTGAGATTAAGTTGGGGATAGAGAGTTGGGTCTGTTTAATTCAAGGCCAGTAACTCACTTCTGGCTCATTGCATGAGCCTGGTCCATACCCAGTGAAATGCAACACACCTGGACCATTTGATTTCAGCTCCTGGGAGGAGAGGGGTTCTTGTTTAGAAATCACTTCTCACAGCCAGCACGGCCTCTCTGTGATTCAGAAACAAATAATCTGACTCATAGGCCACAGAACTAGGCCTTCTTCCTGGGCTGCAGAGTGTTGCGTTGTCAAGAATTCTCCCTGCCCCCCAGACGGGGCTGGTTATCCATAATCTGGTCTACAAACATCAAGGTCAGAGCAATGGTTTTTGTACTGTGCTGTGGAAACATCCTGTTCCATCGGACTCATTTGGCCCAAAGCACCTAACTCACTTCTTATTTTCTCTCTTCCCTCCACCCGCCCACCCCCTCAAAAGAACAAAACCAACCCTCCTGTGCATGCGCAGCCATAGAAAGTTCAGGTGCTGTAAGCATCCCCTTCCTTGATGCCCTGGGGGTTCCTCCCCCTCACCTAACCAGGAAGCCTGCCTCCCTGCTGTGGCACACTTTGTTAGCAGTCCCAGGGTGCCTTTCAGGAAATGTCAATGACCTTTTTGTGATAGGCTTAGGATCTGTTTTTCTAGTGTAAACATACTACATGTTATCTTTCTCGTGACCATGTCTCTTCCTTCCCCCACTGCTGCATCCTGAAGTCACATTTTCCCCTGAACTGTCTGTGCCTGACTAAGTGACACGCTACTGCATTGAGTAGTACCCTTCCCAGTCTTCCTGGGTCCTTCTAAGCTCCTGGGGATGCAGAACTGGGTCCTATGATTTTTGTGTCCCTCAGTGCCTACCACAAGGCCTGGTATTTTGGCAAGGAGATATCTGTTAGAGGTGAAGGAGAGGACAGGGTGACAGGGAAGTCCCTTCTGGCTAGACTTGAGAAAGGCCTGCCATTCCTAGGGGGAAGGGGCTAGTAATTAAGGTGAGAAAGAGCATAAAACCAGGCTGCCTGGAATTATAAAGAAAGCAAAACCAAGCCATTAGCAAAAGAGGCTTTAGAAGAGAAAACTGGATTCTCTCTCACTTGTGATCGGAAGAGTCTTGGGGGCACATCAGGTTTAAGAGGGATTGCTTGGCAGGGAACAAAGCCTTGCTTTTGGTTTCCCTGCTCTTATCTTTCCTTGGGGCATCCGTCCTCTTTGACTGAGCTTGTCTATCAAAGGGATATTTCTAGAACCTTTACTTAAAGGTCCAGCAGTAGAAATACCCACTATTGTATGCTCCAGTGTCCTGTCTTTTGTTGTTGTTGTTGTTATATGCTGTCGAGTTGAACCCGACTCACAGTGACCCCTTTTGGGTTGCCGAGGCAGTATCACTATGGAAGTAGATTGCCCAACTTTCCTTCCGAGGAGTGGCTGGTGGGTTTGAACTGCCAGCCTTCTGCTTAGCAGTCAAGTGCCTTAGGCACTATGCTACCAGAGCTCCCTGTCTTTTGTTAGAACCCCACAATCAGTCCTTTCGCTCCTATAAGGACAGCCACCCTTCACTGTTCACTCTGTGTGGTGTCAGCTCTCTCCTTGATCCTCTCGCTCATGTTTACACTAACGAACCTCCTACCATGCTCCCAGACTTGGCAGGAGTACCTTAATCCTATATGTGTACCTTAGCATGATGTGTGTTTCCCCAACTGCTTTATGAATTTTTAGAGTTTCCATTTGGGAAATTTTGTTATCTCTTCTTCTCCCTTTGCTTTTCCTGAGGACATCAGCTGGGCTCTAGTCTAGAGTTACTTGTGCTTTAACATCTTGATTGGCCCATCTTTTCCAGGGGAGTGAAAATCTGAAGAGGCCTCAGCAGTTGAGAGTATTTTTCCTGCATGTGCCACAAACCAAGTTCGAGGGATCCTCCCTCCTAGTCTCTGGTGTTTGGTTTATGTGGGTGTAGGCAGTTTTGTTTTAATCTGATGAGGGCAGTAGGTCTACACCAGAGCAAGACTTTAGATATAAGGAAAGGGGGACCTACGAAACCCTCCCTGGCTCTGCTCCAAGTTCCTTTGTTAGAACACTCAGGAGACCAGTAGAGTGAGGGCAAGGGAACAGTCTTTCCTGTTGTAATCCCCACAAGGTTTCTGTGGGCAGCACTGCACTCCCTGGGAGTTAACAGAACTCACAGAGCAGGCCCATGAGCATCACCACAGGATACATGTTCCCGGCATGCACCAGTCTTATATCTTACGGTATTGAACTTGATCTCCTCCTGCTTCATGGAAGGATCGAGAAATAAGCAAGTCTGGGATGTTTGTGTTCTCAGAGATCTCTTCCTAAAGAAGAGGGACCCTCTCCCCACTACCCTTCTGCCTTCTGGGTACATAAGAGGAGGAGCAGCCAGTCTGCGAATTCCTGGGGTTTGGGGTTTGGTTTTGTTTTATTTGTCACCAAATCCTGTCTTTAGTTAGATCAGGAATAGTCACAGGCCTTCATTTTCCCCTACCCTCAAGCTTGAAAGATTTGTATTTTCATGGGATCTGGGACCTCGAAGATGTACAAGTTCAAGACAATGATAAAACAGGAAGTGGGAATTAGTTGCACGCCTGAGCTCTCAGAAGTACCCCCGTGGCTTGCTGGCTGAACATTAAAACTACTTCAGTCTGAGCCAAGGTGGAGGTGGCTCTGGATGGGCAGGCCCTGCCCTCCCTCTCCACAACGACTGGGATCAGAGTATGTTCCTGACTGTTTTTTTCCTGCCTCTCATCAGAAGAAGCCTCCAAAAAGAGTCTTGTTTTTCCAGGATATAGGAAATAGCTTTAGGAAAGGAGCTGTGTCTCAGTGTAATATGTGTGCTGCTGTTTGCTCCTTGCTCTCACCCCCTTCCGCCATAACCAGACCTATAGCGCTGTTATACTTCTCTCCCATAGGAGAGGCCTGAACCCCCCACATCGAGTCAAGTCCATCTCGATGACAACTTTCACTGAGCCTGAAGTAGTCTTTCTTCAGTCTCGTGGAAACGAGGTGAGTTAACGCTGGCAGAACGGCTAGGGCTGTGGTGCCCTGTTGCCCGCTACAGTGTTCTCTCATGGTAGACTTCCGCTTACTTTCAAATATGTAAGAGGCGCCCTGGTGGCACAATGGTGAAAGCACCTGGTGCTAACCCAAACTTTGATGGTTTGAACCCATCAGCCTCTCCTCAGGAGACAGACAACAGTTTATAGAACCGCCTCAACGGCACTGGGTTTGGTTTTTCTTGTCGCTTCCTTGAGGAAGCAGGAGAAGGAGCAATATCTCGTTAGGGCTTGACTCCTGGGCACTCTCCGGGAAACTGGAGCTCCATGTGAATTGAGCTCTCCATTGACTGGGCCAGCTCCTCTGAGTAAGATTTCCATGGAGTCGGCTCTTTTGACATGAGCCTGGGCAACCCTGGTTGAAATCCATGTCATTTACTTGAAAGAAAGTTAAACCCCTTCCCTAGCTAAATCTGCTGGTAAGTGGACATCTTAGGAGTTAGCAGTACCTCTTACAGGTAATCACTTACTTGGGGGATGCAAACAAGGACCTCTGGTGGATGTCCTGGAAGCCACAGTTCTGAAAAGGGTCCCTGACCTCACTCCCAAATTTAGTTCCCTCTAATCCGTGGCCCTCTAGTTTTCATTTGTTACAATATGTAATTATAAAATTCTTTATCTAAGGGATGACCTCTCCATTCGATTACAAGCTCTGTGAAAGCAGGAATCACGTGTGTTTTGTAGTTATACATAGATCCTAGCACTGTGTCCATGCTCAGTAAATATTTGTTGATGAATAAATTGGAAGTGGGATCTTTCCCATTTCACGCTTTCTGCTCCAACCCCTGTATCTCTTGACTCCGTTCCTGTAGGTGTGCAGGAAGATCTGGTTGGGTCTTTTTGATGCCCGGACCTCTTTAGTTCCAGATTCTAGAGATCCTCAGAAAGTGAAGGAGTTTCTCCAGGAAAAATATGAGAAGAAGAGATGGTAAGGAGGAAGAAACAGATTGCCAGGGAGACAGGTGTCTGACATGCTTCACCCGACAGTCCCATTTCCAGAGTTGAACTGCACTTCTCTCTCAAAGGCTAGACTTTGGTTAAGTCAATTACGCTCAGACTCAATTAAGGCTAAATTCTGACTTCAAAAGAATGAATCCACATGAAAAGATGACTTGCTCTCAGTCACTAATTCTGCATTTTGATATCTCCTCTTTTGGGGAGACAGTAGACTGGTTGAAATGGGGAGATGAGCCTGGGGGAGTGTGTGTGCATTTTTATAGCTCGTCTCTTACGTGGGGAGAGATGGCTAGAAAGTCATTTCATACAGCTTTATGCTTTTATCCTGTCACTTCGTTCATGATTTTTATGTATGAATTCTGTTGTCCTGATGAAGAAAATAGCCTCTGTGTTGCCCCTTGCCTTGTCCATCCCCAGATGTCACTTGCTGTTGTTGGCTAACTCCAGGGTGGAGAAGAGCATGCAGAGAGGAAGTGAATAAAACAGGCTTTTGGAGTCGCTTCTGGGGTATCCTCAGGATAAAGGAGATGCTTCCAGTAGGGACCACCTACACTGGAAGTGCTGGTGACCACCTACACTGGAAGTGCTGGAAGGGGCTCTTTCAGAAATATCAGGATCTGACAGAGTAGACTATAGATTGTGAGCACTCAGAGGATAAAGTGGCAGTAACTTTTGTTGGAGTGAGAAGGAATCTGAAGAAACACTCAGGAAATAAAGGAGGGCCTTGAGTAGGACGTTGGAAAATACGATCACCTGTCCATCAGTGCTACTGTGTGTTGTATTACTTTAGACACACACGGACTGAGGTATCAGAAGGAGGAGGAAGGAGGGAAAAATAGGCATAAGCCAGGGGAAACGGAAGCTTCTTGCAGAAAAAACTGAGCATCTGACAGTTAAGGGGAAGCTCGAGATGAGCAGATGTTTGTGTTCAGTTGTGGAATCCCCTTTGGTTCAGAAAAGGGATGCGGTGGAGAAAAGAGGAGAAAGGCTTTGACTGCTGTAACCCGTTTTCCCGAGCACACAAGCTGAGCATGGGCCACAGCCTCGTCCCTCTTGTTTCAGCCTCATAGTGCCTAAGGCACTTGACTGCTAACCAGAAGGCTGGCAGTTCAAATCCACCAGTCACTCCTCGGAAGGAAGGTTGGGCAATCCTACTTCCGTAGTGATACTGCCTCGGAAACCCAAGGAGGGGTCGCTATGAGTCAGGGCTGACTCAATGGCAAATAACAACAACAATTCTTCCTCAAAGGTATGTCCCCCCAGACCAAGTGAAGGGGCCTGCTTCTGCCAAAGGCAGCGCCTCCACCCCTATCCAGGGCTCCATCCCAGAAGGGAAGCGGACACTTCTGGGTGATCCAGCGCCATCTCTCTCAGCTGCCGCCTCCACCTCTAACCAGGTAACTGTCAGATCTTCAAGTTCATGTTGGGTTTCTGGGGACGGGGTGTCAGCTTCTGACATTAAATCCCCTGGACTTTGTGGAGAGCAGTACGAGAGCTGTGGGTTGTCTCCCACCCCTGCTCTTTCCTGTATCTTACATCTGTCACCCCTGGACTCCTACCTTTTTGGAAAAAAGACCCCAACAAGAAGTCGTATTCAGGAAAGTTAGAGCATCAACTCCATTTTCTAGAAGGAAAACAGAAGGGATATTCAAATACCTGGGAAAGATGAAGAGGTAAAGACCCAGGGAGACTGGTTGGTAACATGGCTATAGATCTCAGGGTTACCTTGACTAGTAAACTCTACAATGTGTGGTTCTGGGAGCTAGTGTACTGAGAAGATAGGGAATTGGGTACGAGAAGGAATAAAGTAACCTCTGCCCAGAAGGCCTCTCAGCTGAAGGCAGTTCCTCACATTCTTCCCACTCCCACTTGCCTATCTTGGGGCAGCCTGGGGAATCATGGAGGGGCTGGGATCATGTCTGGAATTTCAAGTGCTATATGTTATTTCTTCTGCTCTAAGTCTATCAGTCAGTCTCAGGCTCGGATATCCCAGCCCCGGAGCTCCCAGGCAACCCCTCATTCCTCTGTCAAGAAAGCTAGTACTGACCTGCTGGCTGACATCGGTGGAGACCCCTTTGCTGCTCCCCAGGGGCCACCAACTTTTGCTGCATTCCCAGCCTTTGGGGGTAAGTGGGACTTGGGATGAGAACTTCCTACAACGTATGTACCCCTGACAGAGGGAATTCACTCCCCTGGGGTGGCCAGGTTTCTCACGGCTCTAGATTTCTTCATGTGAATGAACATGGGGGTAACTCTGAAGCATCAAGACTGGGAAAGTTGGGTCAAATTTGTACATGAGGGTTGTGTTTGGGAGTGTGGCTGTAAGATACTGGAGCTGAGAGCTTCCAGCACTTTCTTTTATAACACTGGAAGTGGTCTTTTTACTTGTTTTCTTGCCATATTAAAATGGTTGCAGGGTGTTGGGATTATCATGTGTTTCATTTCCCCTGCCCTCTTCCCACAGACCAGTAATAGCCAACAGAGGGTTGAACAAAGTAGTATCCAATTTTTCTTTTTCCTTTTCAGTCCCCTTCTCCCACACACAGAAAATTTATTTTTCCTGTGATTGTGCCCAAAACTAATCCCTGAACAAAATGTTAATACCTCATGGAGTTAGGATGAAAGATGGTGGAACTAACTAGGAGGACTTTGAGATACCCATTTCTCTCTGGTATTCTGGCTGCCCTGCCCCAGGCCCCTCCATCTCCCTTTGAAGAGGACCCTATGGAAAGAGATGTCCCGTAAAAGTTGCCTTTGGCCTTTAGACTTGGTAATATATGTAACATAGATAGATGTATGTATTGTATGTGTGTATAACCCTGTATTCCTTCTACCTATAGGCCAGACACCTTCCCATGGGGGCTTTGCCAACTTTGATGCCTTTGGCAGTAGCCCCAGCTCTTCTGCATTTGGACATATCCCTCCAGCTGGCCAAGCCCCATTCCAGGCCCAGCCAACACCCACAGGTAAACAATTGACTGGTTTCCTTTCTCTTGCAACTGCATCCAATTTTCCATGTCCATAGTCACCCTTCATTCACTTCTCTACTAATCTAAAACCAAAACCAAATCCACTGCCATCGAGTTGATTCTGACTCATAGTGACGCTGTGGGACAGAGTAGAACTAACCCAATAGGGTTTCCAAAGCTATAAATCTTTACAGAAGCAGACTGCCACATTATTCTCCTACAGAGCAACTGTTGTTGTTGTTGGTAAGTGCCGTCGAGTCATTTCCGACTCATAGCGACCCCATGCACAGCAGAACGAAACACTGCCTGATCCCGCGCCAGCCCCACAATCCCTGCTATACT